GTCTTTCACTCTCGCCAGACCGCGCACCGCCGTGCCCTTCAGCTTGGCGGCGTTGTCGTACTTTAAGAAACACTCTGTAATCATATCGTTGATGAATTCATTATTGGTTAATTCATGTTAAATAGACAAGAAAACATTTAACAAAATCTAAAAATTATGGTGAAACAACAAGCGTATCACAGTTTTTAATGTGACCTACATACATAGGTATCTATTAAATTGATGTTTTTGTACTAAAAGCATATAGACTAACTATAAAAGGATCGGCGTATGATATTACCTCATTGGTCAGATTAAACGAAGTGTTTTACATGTTTTCCCTTTTATATTGCAAAGTATGCCATTATATAGAGTAGACTATTTTATATTCTAAATGTAAACCTATTTGAATTAAAACTTTAAAAAATTTTACCAGTATCTTTATGCTGCACATCATCATAAAGAGCGGGTTCGCACCCGCGGCCGTAGTTCCCCCTGGCGTATAGTTCGTGTCCCGACGTAGTGCGCAGTCCGTGCCCAATCTCCAATGACGTAGGCGGGGATGACGTCAAAATACAATTCTCCAAATCATCCCCTATCGTTGGAGAATCGAATCTAAAATGTTCGATAAGATAAGATAAGATAAACTAATGTTATTTAAATACCTAGAATATGATTGAAGTTGCGTTCCGAAAATGTAACATCAACCATCATCCTTCTAATTTACTAGAATGGTACAAAATGGGTCTCGACCTCTAACAAAGAGAGTCTCCTATTACTTCGGGTAAATATATTATTAGTAATATTGCACCTGAAGCTAAAACCTCTGCAAAAGAAGGCATGCGCACGAATACACTCCGCTTCGCAGGCGCCCAGCCCCGTCACCGTGAGCGAAGTGCGCGCCGCACTGCCTGACACGGCCGAGTCAGACCGCACGTGCCAGAAACACTCTAACAAACAGAACTAACAATGTAATATAACGATCAACATGAAGACAGATACATGATCCTGTGTAAACTATGGTTAGATGGCTATGTACAACAAAAAAACAATGGAAAAGGTCTAGTCATCGAAATGTCAGCAAGCTGTTATCTTACCGCTCTCCACCCAAGGCGTCCTGCTAACAGTAGCACAACCCTGATCCTGCGGCATAGCGTACACATCCGAGTCGCTATCAGCTGACATGTCCAGACCTCTGTAGGGACGCTCACTCAGGAAACAATTATCAGAACCACGGCCGCTTGAATATCTGTTAAAAAAAGTGGATATAGCTATTGTTATATTTCAGGGACAACGAAATTCATTGATAATCTAGAAATAAATACCTATAACTGTAGGAAACACATTTAAATTCCTTTTCCCCAAAACAAGCGGCTTCACATTCGACCACGTTACGAGCAAACAGAGATCTTCTAATCGCGCCGGAACCTAGTGACATCCCAGGACGACGCCGTGACGAACAATCTGTCGGTAATAAATTATGTAATATTTATATCTAGTGGTAATATAATTACCTGTATATTTTTGCCTATTATTTATATCGTACCTTTAGCTGGTGGTCCGTCTATTCTATCCAACTCGTAATAAACAGGAGGATTATTATGTTTGTAATGCCCCGCTTCTCCATAGTCATAGCCGTTCCATGAATTATTCCATCTTCCTCTTTTCCAAGCACCATATCCGTAACCATGATTCTCCCAACCACTGTTTTTCCATAAATTGTTATAATTGAAATCAGAGTTAACGCTATGGGATTTAACACCGTAGTAATTTGACCGGTGAGCTTCGTCTGATATTTGCCAATGGTTGTATGATTTTCTATAGTCGGTTTTATCTTTATAGTAATTATGTCCTCCGTAGGCTCCGTTATGTTGTCCCCAACTTTCAGGTTCTTCACTGCGACTTACTCCTAGAAATAAGACAATTTTATTGTTTGTGAATGCCAAGACTAACTAAAAATTCGAACACACAACATAAATAATTTTAACAAACATTGCTCACCTATCTGGTAAGGTACATAAACCTCGTTTTGATATCTTCTATTAGAATTAACTACTCTTCTCCTTTCGTTGTAATGTCTTTCATATTCACTTTGAGAACTTCGATCGTACCAGTCTATTCTATCTTTCCATCTATCAACATCCTGGCCAGGCCTCTTATTGGATAAAAAACCCGAATGTAAAAGACCCGGGCCTCTGAGAGTATCTGGGCAGTTAGGTTCCAAGCTATTCCGATCTAGTTCGTAGAAATCATAATCTTTGTCTTCAACAAAGTCTCGTTGAAGATCGAAGGCTTCGATTGGTTTTGTCATTAACTCGCACAGACCTTTACCACGGAAAGCTGGATCCAATCTGTAAAACGTAGCTATTAATTTATATGTATGTCTTACCACACTTATGATACTCAGGGTCGATAATCTGCTATTAAGATAGACTCGCACTGTAGTATTTATTAGAGAAATCACAACTAAGCTGAGGTACCATTAAACCTCAATGAATGAGGCTGTAAAATTTATAAAACCTTGATATTGTAAAATAGAATATGTAACTAATTATTTAGGCTAGTAATGACGTCATTAACAAAACCTTGAGCACGACCTAAATCATAGTCACACATATTTAGGCCACTGCTACGCTGTACGCAGATATTTATCTCATCTTCATGCAAATGACTAGTTGCATGTAACTAACTACCTATTTCACAGGGACGGACTAGGCTTATAATTTAAACATTTTTTTATACCATCAACTTATAGTGGTGCTATTTTTATTAAATCGGATATTTGTTGTAAATATTTGATAATGCTAAAGCTTCAATAATAATAAGGTTTGGAGTACGGACAATATTGCGGTCAAGAGTTCGAATTCCGCGATTCGATCATGAACCATATCCCAGCAGAAGCCTAGAGCTTAAACGGCTAAAGGAAATTTTAGTAAATTAACAAAAATCTACTGGTATTTAAAAACATATAACTGCCGTATTGTAACAATGACATGCTAATTTTAATTTATAGATGTTCCTCACCAGGATTTGTAGTTATTTCAATCTTCGTTTAATTCAGATGATGTTAATAAGAGATAAATATTTAATTATGACGGCATATTAATCATAACCTAAGTCCGTCCCTGCAGCAGTAGTATACGCAAGGTGACGCGGCAGGGCGGTACGTACGACAACAATGCAGATGTTTAGTGCTGATTGCGCCGAGGCCGTCGGCCATTCCGCGGGTACATCTCTTTTGGCGAACATATCACGCAATGTACTGCATTCTATAATTAGGTACACACGTACGATGATGTACTAGACATCTTCAAAGGTAAAAGTAACTAATGTTTTAACACTAATCGGACCCAGTCAGAGATATCTTTAAACTGAAAGCACAATTTGTCGTAAATAATTATTGACCTTAAGTTATTTACAGCTTTCTCTTAGACTTTCATACATGTACTGACCCCTAAAGTTATTTCTTAAACGTGAAAGCGTAATGTATCTTAACTTAAGTTTCAGATTAAATCAAAAGTTTTAATTGTAAGGGTGCGTACTCACTAACCATAATATATTATATTACAACGCGTATCTTCGGTCAGTCGGCACCTTAGTCTAAAAATAATGGCAGTAAGGGTCAAGTAATTTTACTCAGAATTACGGCCGCCAAAGCCTCAACATCAGGAAACCGACAACAATCATGCGAAAACTTCGTGGGAGTGTTAACACATAAAAATATGGTCATAAAACTTTATTATTGTTTTAAATCACCGTGGACACAAGAATACGTTGCACAAAATAACCATATTTCATTATTTAATTAAATTAACTAACTGATTTCAAATTTTAAATTACGAATTTTTGCATAAGAGTAAAAGGCGACAACACGGAGGTGCCCATTGACGCATATTTTCTTCTATAAATTAAAATTATGCACTTATTTACACACACTATACACGATATCTTCGAGTTGTCATTAATTGCCTCTAAATCTACACTAAGGAACTGCCTGAGCGATTAACGGATTGAAATGCGGCATTTACTAAACAACTAAAATTAAATTATACTAACCTGTAATTAAAGCTCTCGCAGTGGAAACGTCTCTCGATGGCGCATTCTCTCTGACAATCCTCCAGCCGCTCGCAGTTCACGACGCGTCTGACATGACTCCTTAAGGTGCGTTTTCCCGCCAGAACTCGGCGGAAACATGCTGGTGATAAAAGAAAATATATTTTTTTTAACTATCTAGTCTCAAGTCCTTGGGTCGTATCCAAATGTTCATTTTATGGCATTACCAAACACAACGATTACTATTTATCTATGTAATATCATATTTAATTATAAATATTTTTCTACGCGTTGACCAGTTTTATCTTCTTAAAAAATACGTACATTTTAATAGACTTCTCCCAGAATTACGCATTTATTTACTAACTTTAATATGACAATGGCAAGCGAATCGTTTGTTATACACTAAGTGATTATTAAAATCTTTAACAAGGTACAAATAGAGTGTACGAGTAGTTACTACTATTAAAGTTGTTAAGATTGCATATTTTTTATGACTGGAAACATAAAGTGAATAAACGACATATGTTAAAATTATGTGACACATTTTTATATATCGCTGACACTGCAATCATTATAAAAATCAATAAATCAATGACAAATAATTTAGACCAACAATAAAAAAGTTTCTAAGCAAATTAAACACATATTTTAAAGTTTAAATCATTATATGATCACGAAGGAAAACCCTGAAGTTTGAATTTGGTATCAGAAATTTACACGAAGGCAGACTGTTAAATGGCTCTGAGTATTATTCCTAAGTTTTACGGGCCTTCTCAGTCTAATGAGGAATCAATAAATGGCATTTTAATAATACCTACTTGGTGCGTTTTCCACAACAATAACCCTTGAACCAACTATATTATGTGCCCACAAACAAACAATAATAAATGTCCACACGTTCATTTTCACTGCACTTTGATATCATAATTCAAAACTACAAAAATAACATCACATAAATTAAAAGTTTTCATTTCAAATTTTAATACTTCTAACACAGATAAAAAATAATTATTTTTCGATTAATATATCATTTTCACTTTTTTACATTTTTTTATGATCCGTATGTGGGTCAGTGAAGTTACAGCGCGTAACATATCGCGACTGAACAGAAGTATTGTCTGACATAAGTTTATATGCGAATGCAATTCTGATGAAAACATAACATGGATAATCCGCCCTAAATAAACGGGATTATTAAAACTACTAGATTACGTTAGTAAACTTAACTCCTACACAAGATTAAAACCTTGCAGAAGTGTCTATAACTGGTACTGTTGTTTTTGAACAGCTCTTTTAAAGTGTCACAGTACAATAAAATACCGTTCTAAGGAAAACATTGTCTAAAATATCAGAAAAATAATAAAAGAATAAAGTACATTGACCGACATAAGCGGTTTGTTTCTTTTTATATGTCATACAGTTTTATCTATCTAAACATTGATTTTAACCTTTTTTTAATCCATATCTAACTTGCTCCAGGTTTCTAATTAATTATGACATTTATTTTTATTAATTTGCAAAAAAAATTATAATTGGAATGTCCACACAAAGTTAACGTCACATTGATTACACCTGATAACCCCGGCACTCGCCCTATTGTCTGTAAAAAAATAGATTTATTCGCGGCAAAACCTCAATATATCCGACCATTGTAGCTTGCATGTGAAAATAACGTACACGCGTTTACGTTTTGTAGCAAATGCTTACTTATTTATTGATTACAAAAATTAAAATTAATTTCTGAAAAATTAATAAATAACAATGCAATTTAATTGTTGCTTTATATAAATTTGGTTCTATTTTACAAAACGAACATTTTAAGCCTAATGTATATTTAAGTAAAAAAAAAACTGTAATAACATAAAACAATAGAACGCGGCATAACCTTGGTCATCCTAAAATAATATAATGATTATACCTCACAGGAAATAATTACATAGCAAGGTAATATGTTTATGAATTTGTCCATTTTTTCCGAAAAATCTTTAAAAAAAGTATATCTATGTTCGCAACGACTTTCGATGATAATCATCGCATATTTTTATTAAAAAAAAATAATTAAGCAATAGTTTCAGGTTCCTTTACTTGTCGATTTCTTATTTATTACCTTTATATTTAGTCTATTAAGAGTATTCGTTAAAAATATATTAATTTATATCGTATTCTTGCTGTCGGATTTTTACAAGAAACTAGAACTTAATTCAAACTTTAGAAACCAAAGTTACAGAAGGGACGGTTCCTAAAACCATCAGAGCGTTGTTTCTCGGTCCAAGGTTGTTAACACAATGGCAAATCGCGAAGATTTATCTACAAATTTTTCATAAGGGGAACCAATGCAATGACATCATTATGCAAAAAACTCTGACTCAATTCACTAAAACAATTGAGATACTTTAACAGTGAAATATTAATTCCTTGTTCACGGAAACAGGAAATCTTTATTCAATTTTTTAACAAGTAACTATGTACCCTTTTGTGTTCAAACTTTTAAAAGGAAGCTGTCTCTATACTCTTCTCCTAATTCACTAAGTTCCGACAGACGTACAAAATTTTATTATTCATTACTCAGGTAACTATTGTTTAGTTACCTATATAATGATATTTAATTCTGTTGCATTGTTAGAAAGATTCTCTCTGTGATTGCATAGTCAATAGTCATCTATTGATTGGGTTTATCGTTTTTTTTTTATTAACAAAAATACTATAATTTCAGATAAACAGTTCCAAAGTTCTAAAATATCAACGATTAGCTGTTTCCGTGCGGCTTCACCAGCATGAAATTATGAAAATTTTATTTTATTGTTTACATTTGTCAAATTAACAATAGCAAATGTCAAAATGACATGACATGACATGACAATCCTTGACAATCTTGCTTCCTTGATGGCAGCAACTTATGGTCTCTTTCCCACTTTATTTTCAAACTATTTACCCCCTAAGTTTAATAGCGTAAAAATATATAGCCTGAATCGTGGCGTAAGTGTAGGGCTTTTTATTAAAAAATAATTATTCAAAAATTTGATGTAATTGCTGACATCTTAGGCAACAAAGAAGTGTATTTACGCTTTATTATAATAGTATAGATGTACACCAACAACACCATTATTTTGCAATCATTAAACTAAAATATTTCTCACCGTAGTTTCAAAGTGGTTAATAAAATCTCAACTATACCTATCATCGTTGACAATTTGACACAATTCACCCACATTAAGTACATTACAATTGTTGAAAAAATCAAACGATCTTTTCAAATGAGATAAAACCTCAATAAAACATAATGCATAATAGCGAAGGCCGCCCACAAATAGGTACATGAGTATGATATAACTTCAACAATAAGTTTTCGTACACAATGATTTAAAGATCCTAAGATACTAGATCGGTATCTACGAAGAATGTACTAAGTTACAAGAGTACAGAGTACAGAGTACAGAGTACAGAGTACAAGAGTATACTACGTATCATTGACGCATCACACTTTACCGGTAAGTAAGACCGTTCCTAGGTGTATTAAGGGACACTTAACCATAAAATGGACCTTATTTGAGTAACATCGCACGGTCTTTTAATGCAATTAATAACTTGTTTTAAACAAGACCCTAAACTTTTGCTACAAAGTATACTTTATTTTAAAAAGGGCAAGCAACCACCTGAATCCGCCAAAATGGAAAAGCAACCGCTGCTAATAGACATCCGCAATTGCAGATGTGTTGCCTACACTTAATCGATGGAGAAGACGCACATAAAGAGGATATTGCTGACTCCTATCAGTCTCCTCCATCTTACTTCACTCTTAAAGATATTAGAAGTACAGTTTTTATCAAGACTTTTCGATTTCTTAGCTAACTTCGTAAATTTTTAACATTAAATTGTAACTCTTAAAACCAGTGTATACTTGTAACTTGGACCATATATAATTTAACAAGTAAATCGTAAACGGTAGGCTCGAGCTGAATTGTTTGGACCTTCCATTATACAGCCATTACGGTGGGTAAAAAATTTTGAACAACACTGACACTTTTGTTTAACTCGCATAAAAGCTGAAGATTAAAGTCCTTAGATCTGTTTTTAGTTGTGACTACCGCGTTTCTGCATTTTGACCCCTATTGTTAATTGGAACATAAATTATTATGCAGGGTCAATTGACTGAGGTTTACTGGAACAATATACCGCATCTATGACCATCACGCCTCGTAGTTGCGACTTTGAGCGTGACAATTTTAGATGTAAACAAAATGGCTATAAACTAGGTTACAGATATACTAAAGGGTGAGTTAAGTATTTTATTATAAACATTTGTATAACAAGTAATTATTATTTTAAAAGGAATTAAACCGATTAACTTTACCTACAAAAAGATTTATATATATAAAGATTTATGACTCTTAATTAGCTGTTACCCGCGAGTCGTCCGCGGAATTAAAGATAAACTTTATTACTAGCCTATGCGTTATTCCAGACTATGTTCTATAACCAAATTTCAGCTAAATTTGTTGTGATGATCTGGAGACCATACATCTATCGAAACTTTTACATTTATCAAAATAGTAAGGTGACATCTTATTTTTAAAATTAGGCGGACAATCTTATACTGCACTCTGTATTAAAGTTGTGACAATGGAATACAAAATGCATTCATATATCCGGAAAACATTACCTTTCTATCTAACAGAAAAAATATAAGCATACAAATTTCTCTAGTATATGTTATAATGAAATTTTTAAATTGTATCCTACCATCATCATCATCATCATAGTCCTCCTTATTCTAATCCCGTTGGCGCAACAGGTTTTTGTCCTCCACATAACTCTATCATACGTCATCTCAGTCATCACTCCCTTTTTGAATTAAATTAAATTTTAAATTCCATCCTACCACGGAAACAAAATAAAATTTGACATTATACAGTAAAATGAAGTCAACGCTTACCGATTGCGATCATAATTCATCAACCTCACGTTTTTGTTTCAGAATTTAACGCATCACAATCATTTGTGTGAAATAACAATTCATTTACATTATAATATGTCCGTCTGGTGACCGCAGGGCATGACCTTAACAACATGGAAGCTGAGCTTAATATAGGCGTGGATTATGAAGGTTAATCCATTAAACAATAGTTTAAATAGTAAACAGCTGTAATTTTCATGTTATCGTCACATATTTAGTGATAGACCCTGACTTTATAAAGAGCAGAAAATGTTCCCGAGTAGTCATTTCTCATTTTATTTTTGTTAAATAATACTTTTTGCGTTGATGTCCGTTGCTTGCTTACTTAATTGATAACTGATTCTCGACAATTTCGACAATGTAATTGAAAGCTTCGAGATTCTCTACAATTTTAGACCAATAAGATCACCGTTATCTTCCCTACTTTATCCTACTCCCCGAGAGTCGGCGCACCGAGTTCTCGTCCAAATGACTACATCTCAGTCATCAGTCTCTTCTTGATCATGTAACCTTTCACGTAATATATTCATCTCTTTCTAGGTCTACTTCTACCGGTGAACCTCCACGCTCATAATAAAGTTCTCCTCGTGACCTGTGATTTATCCCTCCTCATAGCAAGCCCATACCGTACTCACCTTTTACTCCATACCTTCTCTATCACTGAGGCTACTTTTAGGCTTACTCTCTACTCTCATTGCATTTTACACTTACTCTATACTCATTTCGTATCTTATCCATTGTGTGACCGCACACATCCATCTTAACTTTCGCATTTCTGCCACATGTATTCTCCTTTCATGCTCTTAAATAGACACTCATAAAGTTTAGACCAATAAGATGTAATTATATTTATATATTTAATAATGAAGTAGTATCCAATATAGAAAGTGCACAAGGAAGACAGCGCTGCATTCTTGCATAATTAATAACTGTTGTTTGTACATTTCTCCTCGCGACATCTGGCTATATTGCAGATAATTACGACTCGTAATATATTACTTATACCTCCTTTCACAATACGAGTATGTCCTGCATGCTGCAAATGTTCACATACAAACTTGATTTTTTAAGTCTCGTGCGTCGTTTCCACACGTCACATGCATAAAATCTCAGCTTTAAAGCCATCCAACATCAACATGTTTTACTTTCAACTTCTTTGGTTCACCCAAAAAGATGGAATTAACAATAAAGTATATCTTTTAAAACTATTCAATTTCTTAGGAATATTTTAATGACTTATAATTATAATAATCTGATCTTAATCTCTGTTAAAGAAATTTTCACATACCTTTATATGATGTTTCTCCGCCAGGATCTCGTCCGTACTGGGGCTTGCCTCCGTAATCACCAACAGCCACAGGTCTTGTAGTAACGACATCCCCATTAGGTTTCCCGTAACTCGGCATCTCACCTGGTCGATCTATCTCATATTCATAAACTGGTTTCACATCAGGTCTATCGGGATCATAACCAACGCCGTAACTTGATTGGTTACTAGGTTTACGATAGCCACCATTATCAATTGGTCTGTTATAACTCGAACTGGATTCGAATGAACTTTGAGATTCATATTGAGAGTTATGTTGACTGGTGTAAGAGTGGCTACTTGAAGGTCGCCCAGGTTTGTATGACGGACGACCAGTGTAACCTGAGCTATAAGACTGGTCTCCGTAGGCCGAGTTGTCGTAACCAGAACTACCGTAACCACCACTGGTAGTACCGTAACCGTTGGATCCTTCGTTTGATCCATAAGGCTTATTTGAAGAACTACCACCATAAGGCTTATTAGAATGGCTTCCTCCATACGAATTACCTTCATAAGTGTTTTGACCACCATATCCTTGACTACTTCCATATTGACTACCGCCATATGAAGCTTGGTTGCTATTGTATCCACTAGAACTTTCGTATCCATCTCCGTAAGAGGTACCTTCTGAGGGTTTTTTGTTATTATTTCCATACACAGAATTACTGCCTTGTGGTTTACTTGATCCGTAACTACTGCTTGAAGTATCACCCCCGTATGGTCTGTTACTAGAATGACTTTCACCATATGCACCTTGGTTACTATGACTACCACCATATCCTGAACTACTTGTGTATGGTTTGTCATTTGAAGATCCATCATTGTAATCTGGTTTGTGATGATTGCTACTTCCATATTCATGATGACTAGCATACTTATCTGAATAAGAACCTTGGCTACTTCCATAGTAACTACTTGTACCTTGACTACCGCCGTATGGCCTGTTTGTTTGCTGACCGCTACCATAACCATTGCTGCTAGAACCATATAAACCTAGATCTGCGCCGTAGTTTTGATTCGTACTACCATATCCTTGTCCTTCATAAGGTTTTTTGTTTGATGTTTGACTACTTCCACCGTAAGGTCCCTGACTACTTTGGCTATTACCTCCGTATTCGTGATTATTATGAGGTTTTTCATTTTGTACGTGGCTGCCGTAATAGCTTTGACTACTACTTTCATAATTCTCGCTGCCGACAAATGACTGGCTACTACTGTAATAGCCGCTGCCTCCAGAACCATAGCCAGAACTGCCATAATTGTCTGTGGCACCTTGTGAACCGTAACCACCACCGTAACTTGGTTTTTTGTTAGGTTTAGGTTTTGATGTTGATTGTAATCCATAGCCACCATTATTATGATTAGTTGAAGATTGGGAACCATAGCCACCGTCTTGTATGTCATACGGTTTAGTGGGTTTGCTGGAATATTCTGGATCAGGTCGATAATTGTTACCTTGGGTAATAACACCTGATCCATAATACTGCGACTGACTATTTTGTGAATGTGAATATGAATTTTGACTAGAAAATGTGTCATAACCATATCCAAGATGTCCGTATTCATAGTCTCCTTGATTGACACCATACCCTGGTCTATTTGGTTTAATTGGTGGCTTATACGTTCGAGGTGGATCATATATTTCTAAGTAAATAGAATTATCATGATACTGGCTACCATAATTGCTAGCATATTGACTGTTATAACTATAATTTGGCTTGTCATTTGGTCTTGAGGGGTAGGCATTACTGGGTTTTGTTGGTTTGTAAGGTCTGTCAAGTGTAGAAGGAATACTTTGTCCATAAGAGTCAGGTCTACCAGTGTAATCAGGTTTATTTCCATAACCATTATCATTCTGTGGTCTTCTGTTTGGTCTAATTATGTATTGATACTGTGGTATTTCAGGTCTATACGGGTCAGGACCATAATCGTCCGGTCTGTGGCCATACATTTCCTCTGGTCTCCAAGTTTGAGGTCGTGGTCTTCCGTACTGGTCTTGAAATTGCAGCACGTCATATGGATCAGGTCTTGTATTTGACATATTATTTTGTGGATTCTCCATTGGATACGGAACACCTTGAGGTTTGTGCATTCCATAACTTGGCGGACTATCGTAGTCTGGTTTTGAATTATCGTAATCATCGGGTCTTTCATTATTGTATGCTGGTTTTTTCGTGTCAGTACTGTAAGACCCTAAATCATCTAACACTTCGTCCGATAAAGGCTTTTTAGGATCACTGGCTGGTTTAAATGTTGGTCGATGTAGTAACCCATCAGGATCATCAAATTCAGCTTGTATTGGAGTCGGTGGTGACTGTTCACATTGAAATCTTCGAATATAAACGTCATAGTCAGGATTTCGTCGAAGAACACTTTTATCTTTTATTTCTTTTTCGCTTAACGTGCTGAGGTTACACGTAGCATTGCCTTTCGCTCCAATCCTAGAAGAAAAATACATAATCATCAAATCTTGTTACAATTCTAAGAATTAAAACCATGAATATCGCCACCATGCGGCATACAAAGAGACTACTCACCCATAGTCGTAAGATTGGCATTGTTTGTCTTGCTTGCAGATTTGTTCACATTCTTTAGTTGTTAGTTCCGAGATGTTTCGATAGATGGCGTCGCGTGGCAACTGTTCACCTATTGAGATACGCTCGAAGCAATCTGGAAAATACAAATAAACCACTTTAAAAGTGTCGCCGAAACGTTAGTTATGTAATTAACGAAAAATGTACAGAAAGTCGTCTTTGAAAATATTATAATTAGGTTCCTACTTGATTGTGTTTGTTAATTTTGTACACAATAAAAATAATAATATAACTACCCATTTCCAATTAAGGCTAGGTATGTGCTACAAAATAATTAGCCACTAAAGGCCTACTTTGTGCTTAATATTTGATATTAAGTTACAATACTCAATGTCACATTTCATTATTTAATCCAAAGATATTTGGTTCACATCGTTCGAACAATGTTACACTCAAGTTGGGCAACTCAAAGTCTAATAAATTTAAATAAAACAATCTTGAGACGGAGCTGAATCATATGCCGTTATTTTTAATCTGTACTTGGAATAAAACTGGTTTTGATATAAAAATTCAATTAACTCGTTAAGTCCTGCGTCTTACGGTAAAGCGTAAAGATTACCAATAAAGATTTCAACCAGCAATTTTCTTATAAATGTTATATATAGTAATTTATACACTGCGTAAGGATTTATATGCTGTACAGTTACAATCCTAGGTAAAACCTGTTAGTAGAATGCATTCATCGTCCATCAGGAAACTCAGCTAGCCATTTAATAATATTAAAATAACAGCTTACAATATAAATAATCTTGCTAATCTTACTTCGTACTAATATTATAAATGCGAAAGTTTAGATAGATGGATATTTGTTAGAGTTTATAGCCTTCTGAACGAATCTCGATGAAATTTGGCATAAATTTAAAGGATAGTTTAGAAGAACATATAAGCTTATTACTTTTGTTTTGTTTAATTCCACACAGACATAATAGGTGGCGAAAGCTAGTATTTTATAATGTTAACACGCGTTAAATATTAACACATTCAAAAGAATTTTTGTAAGATTCGTACAAAGGAAGCAACAGTCGTAACAAAAAATAATAAAAAAAAACTTTAAATCATATGACCAAACCGTAAGCAAATGTTATTATTTTTTAAATTTTGCAATAATATAAGCTGTGTTATTAACTAAATCTTTGTTCGAGACAATTAATACGAGCAAAAAAAAATGACCAGAAACATCAATCATTATTATTAAGATTTGATCCGTAACACGCCGAGGAAGTGACGTCACATTGAAGTCAGCAATAACATTATTAATAATGATGACTAACTACTTCGTCCTTTAAAATAACATCCTAGTAAATATAGAGGTCAGACGAGCAGAGAGCAAGTTCGGTCAACAATGCGTTATAGTTTAATTACGATTAAAACAAACAAAAAAAAAAACAAAGATAGGCCGATAGCTTATGAGAGATTACCCGAAGAAGTACCCATACTCTATACTATGCTAAATGATTGTGTTTAAGTTTCCTAAAACGAAATTACTTGGCTGTAAATGTAGAAATAGTAAGGATTGCAGGCATATATGCATATAGCGTAGTCGTCACTAGGGGACGGCAGTAGGTGCTATGCTAGCTGCACCTCCCCCTCTAAAGAGTAATATCTTTACTCTACAGAGTAAGTTAATACTAATATAAAAACTATCTTCAATAACCATACTAATGGTAGTTGCCTAGCTAGCCTAGATTATCAACTGGCGACGCCCATTGTATATGTTGTTTTTGTATAGTTTACTCGCAGAAGATATATCTTTGCTACACAAAAATACCGTAAAATAGTGTCTAGAATTTGGAATTATATTAATATATGTATCTATATTTTATATATTTTTTTTTTAAATTTGAAATGTCTAAGTAGCCATTTAAAAGAAACATTGTAATATCTATTGTAATGTATGTAATTAAGTTGCTGGAAATAAAAGGCTTTTTTATTTTTATTTATTTATTTTATGTATCTATATTTGTTATCGACTTACGAGTTCTCTTCTCTTCCTTATCTCCTATTTTAAAAAATCCTAACGTTTTTCTACCGTTGCCTTCTGATTATTGACACTATTAGATTTGTTATGTAGTAGAGTAGTTTGCCATGACTGATTACGTTACAGAAGACATCATCAATAGCCTGTCCTGCTACCAGAACATCTTATATGTCGCGTATCGTTAACCTTATTTAAAAAAGTAAAAAATATACCTTCAACAGAGGTTCCAAGTTGCGAGTCGATGGTCAAAGTAAGCACTGCAGATACAAGTATCACAGGGCATACAGCTAATATGTATAACATTCTAAGCGACATGGCGATTATTATACTAAACTAACATAACATTTTTAATAAAAGAATAATGTAATAAAAAAATTTAAAACTTAAACGCACGTCAAACACAAAGTCCAAATGTCACAAACATCAAAATTCCCGCCACACGTTCCGCCAATGTCAAAACGACATGGACTGTCAACGAACTTTATAACAAGGATCAATGAAGACGTCCACTCAGTTTTGACTTTGGTTATGTTGTGGCGCAGAGGTTGCAAATCTTCGTTGGGTGTGACCACTCGCGTCTCGCTCCGGTAGACAGAGCACACTTCCTTGCGGCTCATGTGAACCTTTAGGTTGGTTAATCGGACCGACAATATACTTGTACCTACAATTCAAAGATAAACTGAATACCATTCGACTAAGGTTGCTCATTTTTACTAAAGCTTTTATAGTACAAGTTTTCACGCCTTTTTAACAAGGGTAGATTGAGACAGGTAACTCTATTCGTCTTCTACTACCTTCTTAGTAGTAAAACAACTACTAAGTAGGTAGACGACAAGAACAAAATTAGTAACTACTGTAATAGGACCTACTATACTAGTTACTAATTTCGTTGTTCTTCGTCAGAGGGCGCTGTCATTGCATGGCTATAACGAAAGAAGAAAACTCATTGCATTTCCCAAAGTTATATAAAACTCACTGAATAGTAGAGAGGCCACAATATAGTTAATATTCCAGGGACCTTTACAAAGTTTAAAGACCTCGTAATTAGACATGATTCATAAACGTTTTTATTGGAAACTCATAAGATAGCGATCACTTAATTATGAGATATACACATGGGAATAATTCTTATTGTCTTTAAGTCTTGTTAGTTTTATAGCAGCTCATAAATCGGTCGGATAAAATATACAACTTATGTTGAATAAGCTGCGTATACCAGAGATAATGATCGCTTCAAACAATGTATGCTTTGTAATAAAAATAGAAAATATGGTAGACTTTAAACTTAGGTAAAGATAGAATTATTTTCTCTCTGAAAGATATGATATTGCAATTTGCCTGCACTTGAAATACAGACTCTCTTATTTTCGTCGGTTTCCGATGGAGAAAAACTCTCTTGTTATGTGACATACTTAATTTTACCAAACTATTTTGTATGTAACTCTTTAACTAAGATGAATAAAAATATCATTGCAACTTTTATTTTAAAACGCCTAACATAATAACGGGAATATTTGTGCATTTCTAACATTCATTGTGTGTCTTGTGAAATAAAAAGTTTGCTTTAGAATGCGAAATAATCACTAAATTCAGGCACTTTCTCACGAACTTTTGGAAAGGCACCGCTAGAACGTTACAGATTCTGAAACTCCTTAGATTACTAAACAACGAAAATTACTAAGGTACGGCTGCGATAGAAATATATGGATATTCCCCAAAAAAAATAAATATATATTGCGTATTAGTCTACGTCTATCATAGTTAGGGACAGTTAACCGTAAATGTGGGAACCAACTGATAAAACTTGAATAATTTCTACTTAAACTTTCTACAACTTAGTCTATAAAACTCCAATAATAATCTGTAACTCATATTCAACTTCTTCAGACGTATTATAATAAATGGTAGTGATACCCTTTTAACAGAGATTTGTTTTATATAGGTGATGTAGCATTTGAAACATACTTTGATATCTATCTAGTCGTATCCATATTATTCTTTTCGTACTGAACACAAAGAGTAAGAAGTTGAATGAGATAATTAGCCGCCGTGTACGGTTTTGTTTATCGTCCGATCAGTGGGCTGACGGCATCGCGCGAAATTTATTATTAATTTAATAATACAAGTGCGTATCGAGAGACGGGATGCTGTGTTATCGATATTAAAGATTTAATACAAATAAAAACATCCTAGCACATACTTACTTGCTAGGTTACTTTATTGTAAAACTTTTTTTTTATATTATATGGTGGCAAACGAGCAAGCAGCCACATGAATCCGCTAAATGGGGAAGTGACCGCTACCCATACATCCGCAATTGCAGATGCATTGCCTGCCCTAATCGACGAAGGTTGAACGCACATAAAGAAGATATTTCCCCTCCCTAAGCATCTTCTCTGCCGCCAAATCCACTTTTCCTTCCCATCCTTTCCTCTTAAAAAAAGGGTAGAAAGGGTGGTAACTAGGACTAGGACTACTATAACAAACTGTGAAAAAACGGTTGAATTAGGAAATCACGTAAATATACTATCTGCTACGTTACGTTTATTTTCTCGTTTACGTGGACTTGAGGTTCGGGAGTCTTACTCCCCTTAGTACCAATAATCGATCTTAAAAAAATTAAGACAGATTTGAGATAACATCGATAAATGTTTGGCATCACTAGAGTAATTACAGTTACAGTGACCCGTAAACTTTGACCGACGACTCCTGATTGTCTGAATGTTTGAGGATAACGCAAAGTATTGTAACACCTTTACTTGATTTCAGTTTGAATTAATTTTGAGTTCATTGACCACGTGACGGCTCGTTGATCGTTTTAAACGTTTTTTAACGGTAGGAAATTCTTAATTTAAGAATGCGTTAGTTTCTTTAAGGTTATTATTAATTTAATTTAACATGAAAGCTTTCTTAGATCAAGTATTTTTTTTTACATTACAAGGTGGCAAACGAACAAGCGGACACAGGAATCCGCCCAAATGGCGTAGCGACCGCTGCCCAGAGATCCGCAATTGCAGATACGTTCCCTACCCTTAATCGAAGGAGGATGAAACGTACGTAAAGAGGACATTACCCCTTTCTGTGCGCATCCTCAGCCGTCAAATCCACTTTCCCTTCCCATCGTTTCCTCATAAGAAAAGGGTGGAAAGTGAAAAGGATTAAAATTAAGCTAAACTGATTTTTAAATGGATCATGGAAATTAGAATAGTGTTTAGATTGCAGTTAGTGTTAAAGGTTAAATAATAAAACAACACATTATTTTATATTATTTATTTAGCTTTTTTATCCGTCTTTTCCCTTTTCCTCTTGTTAATAGGGTTTCTAGGATCATAAATATCGAACCAGTCGTCGCCTTTTGTCGACGCGTCTTTCGCTAACACGGCGCCTTTGTCTTCAAAACGCAGCGTATGTCCCATCCTGGTATTTAAATTAATTATATTAAAGAGCGACAAACAGATATAGAATGTTCAAGATAGAAAGAGATAGAGAGAGTGGGAGAGAGAAGGAAATACAATTTACTAGCTTTACTCGATGTCAAAACTGAAACTTTAATAATTCCAAATCTCTCAAATCATTACAGCTAGAGTTATGAAATAAAAAATATTATTTTTGGTTACTCGATTTTTATAAAGCGTTTTTTATTTTAACTAGATTATCAAAATTAATATGAGATCATCAACCTGCAACTGCTATGTAATTAACTCGAGATGTGCAAATCATTCGATAAAATTTAAAACAAAATCAACACTTCATATTTCTTATTATATTTCTGTGAACGTCTAGCATGTAAAAAATATTATAATTAAAAAATTATACGTAGATTATTTAGTTTAAAACTCAATGCAAAATTTAATCTTTTTTGTTCGATTTTCGTAGAAAAAGAAAAAAAAATAAAGTTCAACTAATCGATGTTTACAGTCTTGGGTAGAATAAAATTATACTTTACTAGAACACAATCTTACCAATCGGGTGTATTAAAGTTCTCGTCATCCTCTTTAAGTTCGTTCTCTGGTTGACTTTTTTCCTTGATAGCGTGAAGTTTATTTTTAAACTTAGCTAATAATTGCAATGTAAAGTCCTCCCTGAAACAACACATACAATCTAAAAACTCTTAAATGGATATATTAAAACTACCAATAATTTTATGACAAATTTGCCCGCGAGAAATTTAAAAAAAAAAGAACATAGAGTATATATTACGCACAGATAAATTATCTTTCTAATGGTGAAAGAATTTTTTAAATTGGCTCAGTAGTTTTTGAGTTATTTAAACACGTGCAAAAATAAAATCTCCTCTTTATAATATTAGTATAGATAAAATTATTAGTATTTTACATTGGATAAGATACGAAATGAGTATATTAGAGGAAGTTTGAGAGTAGCCCCAGTGGTTGAGAAAATAAGGAGTAAAAGGTTAGAGTGGTATGGGCATGTTATGAGAAGGGATGAATCGCATGTGACAAGAAGGATATTAGTTATGAATGTGGAGGGGTACATCGGTAGAGGTAGACCTAGAAAGAGATGGATGGATTGCGTGAAAGGTGACATGATCAAGAAGGGAGTGATGACAGATGACGGATGATAGAATGCTTTGGAGGACGAAAACCCGGTGCGCCGACCCTACGGGAGTAGGATAAGGCAGGGGAGATGATGATTAGTATTTTACATTGATTTAATTATTTTCTCTTATTTTTTACAAATTTATTCCTTTTGTTTGCAAGAAAATATACTTATTACTGAATAAATTAATATTAACACACTTAGATAGTTAGTGAAAAGAAAAGTTAAATGAAAAAGCCTTTCTTATTCAAATTTTATTATAGATTTACAAAATAACAAATATTTTAAATACAATCAATGATGAAAAATTGACTTCGTTTACAGCCGTTTTTTGCACTGTCTAGCGATTTGGCATTAAATTTGTATGAAACAAACATAATTTGTAAAATTCAACTAACAATGGTGGGAAATTAATTTGTTTTACCTACTTACAAATATAAATAAAATGTATAATTCGTAAAACATTTGTACATTACTACCAGAACACATTGGTAAAAACAGTGCTTGAGCCCTCTTTAACATCTTCACACAAATTATTATAACCCCACGTTTTTATGACTAATTTATTCTCCCATAGTTATTAATAACTTCCCTCAAAATTAAATTATCTGTAAGAAATAAATTTGCGACTTATTTTTATAATTCTTTTGACTTGTATATTTTTCTAACTACACAAAGAATCGTCTAAATCGTCACAATCCTCAATAACAGCCTCATCCCATGGCCCATATTTATTATCTTTGTATTTCTGCCACCTAACAAAAGCTATAGGGCAATACACGCTTATTACAACTACCAACATAACAAAATAACACAAAATAGTAATCGAAACCGTATAAAGTCCTACCAACGTTAGAAACAAAACTACAGAAAATAAAACTAGAAACAGTCTCGTATGTAAAAATACTTGGAATAATTGTGGACTTAATACAAAAAATATCACAGACACCGTTAATAAT